TTTACACAAACATCAAGTGTTAGATGAAACTCCTAAATGACAATATTATGAATCAAACAAAATAGTGTTATGAAAATGTTGTTCCTTTATTCTTCTTCGTTGATATGGAAAACTCTTAGTAAAGAGGTTTTTTCTTGACTTTTCAGCTCCTTATAAGTCTAATATAAAAACAATAATATGTGTTGTGTAGGTGAACACTTACGAACTTTTACCTCCACCATTTTACATAGTATTTATTTTACTTTCTGAAATTAATGGTAAACTTTTTACTCTTTTACTAAATGATAGGTGATTTTGTCATGCTAAGCTTCTTGATACACTATTTGATTATGAAAATTACACAAAACTTGCAAAACTTGCAGGTTAGATTAACGATTGTTTTTCACTCTTTTGTTGAATGGTTGATGCTTATCTTCATTATTTTTTTCAGTGTTGAGAATGTAAAAATGTGCAGTAGAAGTTAATGTTATGAAAGTATAAGTTCCAAGATTGCATTATCTATTCAGCCTTAAAAATGTAAAAACAGTTGTGGTTGTCTCCTGTTTGGAGGATCAAGAAATGTATAGTGCCAAATGTACTTTTACATTATATTCTTTCTCATTAACAATTTAGCATCTCACTTATTCTATTTTTGCAAACTTTTCTTGATAGTGTGAGGTTGAAGGGTGATATTACTATTTTCCTCTTCATCCACTGGAAACTCGTAGATTGGTTTAAATCCTTACTTTCGTAGGCCAATTTTAATTATTTATTATATAAAATTCTAAACTATTCAACAAATGAAGTATTTAAATAAAGTCAAATATTAAAAGGTAAGTATTTAGATGGGAAATAATCATCAATGTAAGGTAAAAATATTAAAATCGAATAAATAAGAAGAATATATAGATAATTATCAAATTGTATGTTAAATTGATCACGTATAAATGGTTAAAATGCCTTATTTAACAACTTAAATGGATAAATTACTAAATTCATAGACATTTTTGTAAATCTAAAAAAGTACTTAAACAATAATTCATAACACTTAAAATATAGTTTGTCGGCGAGAGTGTAGGAGCAAATAACTAAAAATGGTGTTGCAAAGAAGAATTACTTTTTTTTTGTTGGACAAGTTATATTTGTTTACAATGATTTATTTTTGTTAATTTATCATGTTTAGTTCATTATGTTTGTTTCATTCTCAACCATTTCACATTTTTTTATTATCTTCTATTGTTAATTTATCTATATATTTTTCACCAAATTAGGGCAATCTAATTGATTTTTGTAGTTGTTGACATGGTATGCAAAGTACATTGCTATTTCTTACAGTTTACTCTTTTAATGCTAATTATTGTTCATTATGCATTGAATAGAGAGAAAGATGCAACTAAGAAATGATATTATACCTGATGAAACCAAAGACATAATGCAAAAATATGGTAAGAGTTATATAGTATTCAATAATATATATATATATATATATATATATATATATATATATATATATATTACTTCCTCATAGAATTTCTTGTGGGTAACAATTTTGAAGGTCTCCAAGAGCATTGTTGTTTAAAGGTAAAGTTTTTTCTAAATATTCTTTTGTGATATTGTTTTTCTGATTGGTAAAAATACAAAAGGTAGGCAACATATATTCACTATTTATTCAATGCAAGCCCTTAGCTTTTTTGTAATGATTTAAAAAACATATTTGGTTTAATCGTTTAGAAAAATACAAAAGATATATATTTATGCTTTTTTGTTTTACTAATGTAGTGTGTGTGCGTGGTTGAAGACAATATGGAATTTTTAGGTATAGAATTAGAGCATATATATATATATATATATATATATATATATATATATATATATATATATATATATATATATATATAGGGGAGGGTTCATGCGAAAATGCAAATAATTTGCGAAAACGCGAAAACAAGAAAACCATATGATATTATGTCACCTCAACATTATATTTTGGAAAATAATTCATCCAAACTTTGAAATATATGATGATAATCGATGATAGATGATAGACTATTTCATATTAGCAAAGTATGATTTTTAACATTTTTATTATGAAAACATGAATTTAAAAATGATTAAGGATGTGAAAAAAATAAAATTATAAAAACCGTCTTTAAATCTATATTATCATAACACCATCTAATGTAAACTTACTATCTTTAATTTATTGCTAATAAAATTATTTTTTTATAGTACATGTATCTAATTTTCATAAGATAAAAGTTGTTTTCGCGTTTTCGCAGGATATTTATATTTTCGCATGAACTTACTTCTATATATATATATATATATATATATATATATATATATATATATATATATATATATATATATATATATATATATATGGAAATGGATAAAAGATAACACATGGCTAAAAAGGTTTAATGACATGTATGTTTGATTTCCTTGTGAAGTGTTTACTTAATTTTTTTATACAATTGATATAATACATATATAGTTTTGCGAAAATAATCTAACTTTTATTGTTTTATATATCACATTAATAACAATAACATTCATATATGCAATGTGTATTTTATATTCCTTTTGATACTTTTAGTCGAGCTTGTATACATTAATTCGAATAGCATCCATATATGTTTAATGTGATAAACAAAATGCTCACTAAAGTTCTAAAATGTGTCACTAAAAATAACATGAAATCTAGAATCAAATGAGTGTTTATCGGCCCAAAATATATGCATCAAAATACTTTTTTTCTATTGTGGCAAATAAGAAAGTGTCACTAAAATCATATAAGGCTGCAACGACAAAACAATAAAAGTGTCATTAAAGGGTTTTAGTTGGAGAGTTTCTAGTAATACTTTATATATGCGTCGTTGATTCTTTGAGTAGTCTTTAGTGGCATTCTTTTGGTTTTTAGTGGCACTTTTTGTGTGCCACTAAAATGACATATAATTTGTAGTTGTGTCATGTGAAAGGTTAATTGATTACATTATACAACTTGCTTTTACAACCCAGTTGGATGTAAAATGTATAATGCAATTATATCTCAACAACCGCCTCACTTATATAACTCATGTTAGATCATTGGTGTCTTATATTAAGATATTAAATGGCAAGATTATAAGATGAGCAATGTTTAATAGATGAAATAATATGGGTCAGTTGCTTAATGAAATCATAACCTTATTTAACAAATAATGTTGTTTTGAAATATAATGAGCTATCCAGTTTTTAAGAAAACAAAATATATTTTTTAAACAAATTATATGGTTGATATTTTTAATATACAACGAAGTCATAATAAACAAAACACAAAATCATGTCGACAGTAATAAGTATAAAACCTACATAACAAAATATGATTTATGAAAATGCAAATTCCTTCATGACAAAAAGATAACAAACTATCAATATCAATGTTGTCATAGTTATCATAGATATTATTTCCTAAAGTTCTTATATCAACTCAAAACTAATTCATCTAACTTCTTCATGGTTATGGGAAATGTGTATTTCTACATGTATGAATTTTACATACAAATAAATATAATTTTTGTTATCCACCAAAAGAGATGTTTTTGAGTTAATACAAAATGTTAAACTACTTAACAAATACTTACTTTCCAACCAAGTTCATAGTAAGTGTTCATCATAATGTCAACCAGTCATTAAATGTTATAATAATTACACTACCAACATTATTGTTGTTGGTTGCATTAAATTCTAATTACAAATATGTTGATTTAAATGAATAGTAAATTTTAGTTTTGGTCCATTGAGTATGTGTAACACTTCATATTTTATACACTAAAAGTATAAACTTTCAAAAGAAATATCTTACGGATTAAAGTCATATCATATGAAAATTTGACTCCTTAAAAAGACATTTCCAAAAGTGTTAGATAGCTTGTGAGCTTCAATTTCATGTTAAACAACCATAGAGAAGCTATATAAGAACCAAATAGTTATAATCCATAAATAATGACTAATGCTTTTCTCATACTAATCGTAGTTATCTCAAGTGTTCTAATCTTCATCAAAAGTCATACTAAGAGGGTAAGTCTTTTATAATCCCCCCACCCCACCCCCCGGTTTTATTTTTAAATATAGAATACTTGTCACAAAAAAATTCATAAAACAAATTGTCTCATGTGTTACATACATACTAGATATAAAAACTTTCACATTCAAAACATTTTGTTTTCATATTACTTTGCACTTCAAAAAGCATTCTTCAAACTTGATATGTCTCAAAGGTAAACAGATCCTTCTTTCTAAAGTATGAAATGCCCTCATTTATATGCAACTTCATATCAAAGCATTTATGCAATCCAAAAATTATCTACATTTTATATATTTCAAATTTCAAAACTTGTTCAATTATCGATATATGATTTCATGTATATGTAATGCCATATAATGCATGATTCTAAACATATTGGATCGACCACATTCGTAGATGTAGAAATGAAAAAAATAGATGTTTCAAATACTTGATAAAAATAAAAAAAGATGCTACCAAATTTCTTTGATAAGAAAACACTCCTATAACATATATTTTTTTATTACAATAACTTAGAAAAACAAATAGGAAACTTAAAAGATTACAAAAAGTACATCACAATATCTTATGTTGCTAACTTTTGTATTGCATTTTTTCGGCTAATGTTAAATCTTAACAAAAATCATTGGAATGAAAATCATAAAATTTAAATTGAAGTTATTTTTTTTAAATGCTAATATATAAGGGCTAATAATAAACACTAGTCAGTCTGTAAAGGGGTAAAATGTAAATTAATCACGCATAAATATCTCTGTCATCAACTCATCAAGTAGTCAATTTTCATTTGTAGATCTTTCACCGCTTGCATGGAGAACCTTCTTGAATCTCTAGCACTCGAAATACTGAGTCGACTCGACGACTCAGAAACGGTAGCATGCTGCCGTATGGCGAGTAAGACTTTCAATTATGTATTTCCAGGCCTTCAATTTATAAACTTGCAGTGGCGATTGAAATGGTACCTGGAATCAAGGTCCAGAGTTTCGAGTTCTTCAAGTTCTTCCCGATTTACTCCTCTCTCAAGAGAGTTTTTCTAAATCTTGTATCAAACTTAAGTGCACAGGAATTGGTGCGTATTGGCGTCGAGAATCCACCCCTAGATGTGTTGAATGCTGACGTTGAAGATGATGGCGATGATCTGCATATCACCGATGAGGGCTTCGTTAAGGAGTGGCTCCCTAGGGTTTCCGGAGCTTTGAAATTGCTTTCACTATCAGATTTTTGGGTTCAGTCTAGTAGGCGTCGATCAGAAGTGTTGTCACTGATCTCTGCGCACTGTAAGTTGGTTATATGCTGAAATTCTTCATTTTTATATTATGTAGCTCTGTTCTTAGATTATGGAAATTGTTTACTGTCTGAAAATGTAAATGGTTTGCCAGGATCGTTATTATTCTGGTTCATATATATATATATATATATATATATATATATATATATATCAATTAGTTATTTATCTTATTATTTTATTATTTATTTATTTATTTAAAATTATCATTAATTTGTGGTCAACTATCATTGATTAGGGTTTATTAATGATGATATTTGTTGGTAATAAATGATATTTAATCATATTAAGATCTTGATGCTTTAACTCGGTTGTTTCTGTTGTTGCAGGTCAAAATCTTATTGAATTAGAGCTGAAGAACGCATGGCTATCAGGACAAAACATGAGCGCCATGCCGATGCTAACAAGTTTAACACTTGAACTCATAAGATTAGATGACAAAAATCTAACTGAGTTAAATACATGTTTCCCAAATCTTCAAGTTCTTAACTTGATAGATGTTAGAGGTCTCAAAATGCCGATGATCCACCTCCTCAACCTGAAAACCTGCCATTGGGTTGTAATAGATTCACCATCATATATATGTATAATCGCACCCAATCTCCTCACACTCAGACTCGAGTGTAGAAGTCCCGTTGCCCTTTATATTGAAGCTCCTGTGTGTTCCCACTTGCATCTTGCACTTGATCACTTGAACGCGTTTGCAGTCAAAAGATTTAAGAACTTGAAAACTATACAATTCGAGTGTTCAAACATTCGCTCCTTAATTCGTAAGTTTCATCGTTTAGAAACAGTAGAAACGCTGACCTTAGATATAAGAGCAGGTGGAAATTCCAAATTTAACCTAGAGGTTTTATGTTGTGCTTTCCCGAACATAACTTATTTGTTCGGGAAGGATCAGATTCCATATGATCAAAAGAAACAAAGAAAATCAAATTAAGACTAGTAGAAGGGTGTTTAGGCCAGGGAAATAATTTTGAAGGAAAGATTGACTACAGAATAAAGATGGGAGCAATGATCAATCGGAAGACATGATCGATGAAGAGTTCAAGTGAAGTAGTTTCAGCAGGACCCATAATTAATTGAGTTTTCTAATAGTTAGAAGTGTTTCTTAGTTAAAGTTTTTATGGTCGTTGTATCTTTTGCAATGCTCTTTCTTGTTATAGTATTACATATTTATATATTTATGGTGCTAGATTTGAGACCAGTTTATTAAATGAGTATATTTAAAAAATAAATAAATATAAAATTTTATATTTAATAAGTTTAAATTTATAACAAAATTTAAATATTATTGAATAAAAAATTAAAATGTTTTTTTTCTTCTAGATTTAAACAAATAATTTAAATAAATAAATAAAGGAAATTAATTAAGCTTTAATTTAGTAATTTTGAAATTAGAAAGAGAGTTCATTAATGAAATTGATATGTATTTATTATTACATTTTAATATTATATGAAATTTAATAAAATGATAAACAATAAAATAACATGTGAAATATAAATTAATTTAAAATAACCACAAAATTACGTGTGACAAAATGAATAAGAATGTGACATATGGTAAAAAAAAGTCTTTATTTATTAGCATAGATTACGTATTTATATTTGGATGCCTATGCACGTATACGGGTTGTATTAGTTTTTTGTGTTGCATTTGACGTCTGTAAGACCTTCATATTCATGAGCACTGAATTTTTGTTGATTACCTTAAACAAAACCCTAGGTGTTCTCTTATGAGTGATGCATTATTTAGTTAGATTGGACTGCATTCATGTGATACCGTGAATGCTCCTATTAGCATGAATAAATACGTTTACATCATTAGATTAATTTGAATAGTGCAAAATCAGTCCCATCATATTTGTCAATTCCTTAATTTCAATTATTTTTATTTTTTTCATTTTATTCTCTTTAAATTAGATGTAAGTTACAAAATAAACCCTTCTACTTTTTATTCTTTTTAAATTCAGCAACTTTATATGATATACATTTATAAAAATAAATACTAAAAATCTTAAAAAATACATGTTGATTATTTTTTATTTTTGTTGTCATTGTGAATAGAAATTCATTTTCAATAAAGTTTATGTTTCACTAAACGTTAAAGATATATTCTATTATTTTAATTTATATTTTTAATGACCAGCTAATTTGTAATTTTTCCAACTCACCTAGACTATATATGTGTCATTTCGAACTAAAAATTAACATAAGCATGTTTCGAACTATTAATTATCACATGGATAGTGTGAATAAAAAAATAATTACATTAGATAGTTCGAACTAAAAATTAACACAGTGATAGATTGAACGAAAAAACTAACACATGGATAGTCTGAATAAAAAAAAAAAAAAATCCAAACAAAAAAAATACATGGATAGTTGAAAAAAAAATAAAGATGGTCGAACGAAAAAAACAACACAGATATAATCCTAACGGAAAAAATAACATAAAGATAATCCGACCAAAAAAACAAGACAAGAACAGTCAAAACAAAAAAAAATAGCACAATGATAATCGTAACGGAATAAATAACACAAAGATGATCTGAATGATAAAACAACATATGAATAGTTCAAAGGAAAAATAACAAGGATAGTTGAAACCAAAAAATAACACAAAAATAGCTTGTAAAAAAATAAAATAACACATTAATAGTCTGAACGAAAAAACTAACACGAGATAATCCGATCAAAAAACAACATAAAGATAATCATAACGAAAAAAAACATGAAGATAATTCGAACAAAAGAATAATAAATGCGTAGTCCAAATGAAATATTAATATTTATAATGAGAAATAATATATCATCCTATATTTTTCTATCATTTTCCTATACACTTAACATTGTGATATTTGTCGGATCTAATAAAATTAATAAATTTTTATTACATTTGTTATCATCTAAAGTTGATAGAATGATGGATATAAAAAAAAAAATGAGGATATTTAATTTCTCATACATAATAATCCAAACGGAAAAATAGTGATAGTTTCAATGAAAAAAATAATACATAAATAGTTCGAACGATTAAAAAGATATTGTAATATCCTGATTTCCTAGGTATATTATTTTATTTAATTATTTTGGAGTTTGAGGAGGAACTCGACGAGTTGGAGCCAAGACTTGCCGAGTAGGGTCGCGGATGTTCATCCGGCTTCACGTCCGGAATCGGCGAGTCCACGCTGTTTAATGAAACCTTAACCCCCGGGTTTGGAGCCTATTTAAGGGCACTTATAGCCTCCCATTGCGGCTACCAGTCCCTTGAGAGAGCCCTAAGTGAGCCAAATCTTTATGAGGGAGAAGAAGCCACTTTTTGATCCTTGAACCCTTGGTTTAGAAAGAAGAAGGTGACAAGAGCAAAGAGGAGGTGCGATTCAAGCAGTTCCAGAGTTCGAAGACATCATTTTCTGGTAATGGTTCGAACCTCCTTCAATTTTGGTGTTGATCATTAGATTTAGGGTTTTCTAACCCCTTTGGAGAGTGATTATGTGCAGCAAATGGTCCCTCTTCGAGTTTGTGCCTTCGATCTGGACTCAAAGAGGTCTAGAGACCTTGACCCTTGGAGCTTTATGGACCAGTTTAGGGTAATTGGCCTTAGGTTGCCATTTTTGGGATTAAATCTCCTTTTGATGCCTTGTTGTGGTTATACAAGCATCAAGTTTCGAACTTTACGTGACATTCATGCTTGGGGAGGCCATATCTATGGTTTGGAGAAACAAATCTGATCTCAGGAGGTCAGTAGAGTTTGTGCATGGCATGAACTCGCCGAGTTGTTCTTGAGACTCCGGGAGTAGGGTTAGGGTTTCACGTAAATTGCTCAGTGAATAGACTTGCCGAGTTGGGGGATGACTCAGAGAGTTAGGAGGGGGTTAGAGGACTGGAGTTCAAGGCGGTACTCGCCGAGTTGATCTTGAGACTCCGCGAGTTGAGTCGGGTGGCCCCGCGATTCCTGTCTAGTAT